TAGTTTTGCTGATATAGGCTTAGTTTGTCGGGGGACATCTTACTTCTTCCTTCTCTCTGTCTATACCTGTGTACTCTCATGTTCCGATTAACCCAGCTTCCCCAAATTTCTTTCTTTTTGGTGTCTATATACGCCGGGATCCGGAGTCATGGATGATCCTGCGGTCCTGTGTCATGGATTGCGAGTCCTGGATCTTGAGTCGTGGCTGTGGTCCTGGATCATAAGTCCTGGATGGATATCCTCGTGGATTCATCTTCCTATTATACACACATGCATTTCCAAACATTTGGACTACCTATGTTGCAAATGTATTATCTTTTCAATTTACACACGGCATCTATTGCACGTCTGTCCGTCCTGGGAGAGGGATCCCTCCTCTGTTGCTCTCCCTGAGGTTTCTCCCATTTTTCCCTTTAAACTGTGGGTTTTCTCTGGAAGTTTTTCCTTGTACAATGTGAGGGTCTAAGGACAGAGGGTGTCGTATTGTCATACTGATATTCTGTACAAACTGTGAAGTCCACTCAGACAAATGTAACATTTGTGATATTGGGCTATATAAATAAACATTGATTGATTGATTGATTGATTGATTGATTGATTGATTGATTGATTGATTGATTGATTGATTGATTGATTGATTGATTGATTGATTGATTGATTGAACATTAGAATAAGCAAGGTTCAACATTTGTATTTCATTTTGTTGACATATTAGGGTCAAATGTTTTTTGAACAACAGTCATTTTGTTATCAGTCAGTTGTTTGTCATGTATCTAGGAATAATAGTTGTTTGTATAAATCAGGCTATGAATACAAAATAAAGAAACCCCTCTGTAAAGACCGTCAGGAAATAGATATGAATGAATGAAATATATTATATTTTATTTGATGTATAAACACTAAGTTCCACTGAACTGGGGAGTACTACCATGACTAATTTGAAGGTAACATCCCTTAAAGATATATGTTTTAAAATAACATATGTACATATACATACTACAAAATATTACAGGTTGAATAAAGCAAGAGTAATTAACTAAAATATATCATGTAACTTCCCGAGTTTACTGGAATAAGAAATGAGATCGGAATAACTGATTATCTGCAACCAACATTGCATCAAAATGAAATAATAAGTATAGCGTTTGAAACAACACATACCCATGATGGCCGTCCAGATTCTTCACCTGACCCGCATCCATCTTCAGGGGCTTGGGTCACCAATAGCTCATCGTCACCTCGCTAAACACATACATTAAAAACATGAATACTTGCAGAGGGTAAAAGCACTTCTGGACCTGTGTGTCTCTTAATATTTTTACTCTGTTACCTTAGAGTCTGCACCCAGCCTGCGTCCACCTGCAGGCGGCTGAGCAGCTACTGCTGCCAAAAGTAAAGCTACAATACACAAGAGCTGCATGGCTTTTCAAGAACCTGAAAGAAATACAGAATTTAAATTCAACTTTGGCCACTTTACACCCATAAAACAGACATGTAACATAGCTGAACCCTTACCGTATAGCATCTACTGTAAGAAGTATGTGTGTGGGCCCTCATGCATTGATACTTATATCAGACATCAGATATTGAGACACACCAAACATTTCTCAAAGCAACACATCTTAGTCACAATTACCCAATCATGTGCAAAACAGCAATTACCTCACAAATAGATGCTAATGTCTTCCTTATTGACTTTGATCCCTGTTCTTTGCAACATTATACAAAAAAACAACATTGGTGTCAGATATCTATAATTAATCATATATACAGAAAATCTCTTTAGATATTTTTTTGTATCAGTTTTCTTTTCAAACTTTATCGGGAAATTTAGGGAAAAATGTTATTTAATTTCCTAGACCAAATAGATGCATAATGAAATGCTTTCATCATTGGGTGGCGCCCGCTTCCTGTCTAAGCCTTTAAGTCACCTTATTTGTAATCATAAGACCAGTTATTATTACCGTCTGTATTTTTGTTGCTAAAAGTAAAGCGTTGAGAATAAGGAGATGGAATAGTTCATACATAATGGTGGTAAGAAACACATTTTTCTGACTATATTAAATTGATATAATGATTACCATTTGAGAAAAATCCAACGGACTATCATTTCTGATACAATCTAGGAAATGAATTCTGCCTACGATCCGAGGGTGGTTTCCATCTCTGATGATTAGCCGCACACCTTGAAATTTTGAGGTGGAATATTTCCTAAACTTGTTTGTAATTTCACAACCTCGCTGTTTGCTAATGAGATGACATGCGCTTCTGTACCTGTTTATAAGCAAAGCTCAACACTCAGAGAAACTCAAAAACCTCCTCGACTCTCTACGAGACAATCTGCTGAAGTTGTGAAGAATTGAAGGTAATTATATATTTTCTTTCTTTACTCCTACGTGGGAATTTGCTCATATTTTAGAAAACCTGCATCACTCTTTATTTCTTCCTTCTAACAGAGAGATCACTGTAACCATGCTGAAGCTAGCTCTTGTTCTTGGATGCCTCCTGAGCCTGGCTCTGGCTCAGCCTGTAAGTGTAACATTTTCAAACTTAATATCAATTATTTTCTTCTTATACCGTGATAAAAGTATTTAAATTGCAAAAGTAAAATGAAGGCAGTATCATAATTGTGGCTTTCCCTACAGATGGACACCGAGCACAAAAGACTTGCTCGCTCAAGCTCTGGCTCTGACTCTGACTCAAATTCAAATGAGGTGACTGCTTTCTCTATCCTCTACAGTTCAACATTCAAAACACTTGATTGTGAAATGATATACAATTCCCTAGCTACTCCTCTGTTTTATTTGACAATGACTCTCTGATTTTCTTGCAGAACAACAACAACAACAACCAGCAGGCCATTAACGCCCAGTTGATTCAGATTATCCTTCAGCTGTTAAACCGGCTAGCGACCACTGCAGCTACAACTACTGCTGCTCCTACTACACCTGCTACTCCCACCACAGTGGTCACTACCCCCTCCACTATTTGATAAGAACACTGAGTTGGAGGGAAAACCATGTCATTTGTTGTGTAAATGTGTGATG